TTTCCACTTACCAAGGTCCAGGTCACTCAAAGACAGTATTTGTTCCTCCATCTTCAACAGCATTTAGGTCATTGATGCTGGGTCAGACAAGATCCAACCAGCTATCTGATGTTACTCATACACCCCAGCTGAGACAACTGCAGCCCAACTGCACTCAGGAGTGTTCCCAGGCACAGAACAGATTGTCAGTTCTGCTAAATCGTTTAAGCAGCCTTGACATGCTTTTGGCCCATGCAAACTTGCACATTTTTGAAGCATTCCTGGGCAGACTTCAGAAACCAGAGCACTCCAGTGGCCACCCCAAGCAGCTTGCATGCAGGCATCCTGTCTTGCCAGAACAAGGAGCTGTGCAAAGAGCTCAGAGCTATTTCATACCAGGTGGCCTCCATGCCAGAGACCACTCCTAGGCAGGTTCAATTTACTAGTATAAACAGAGCCTTTGAGACTTTCCCAGGTCAAGGCTGATCATCCCATTATGCTTGATGAAGCCATACTCAGTGCTAATGAGCTGATTCCTTTCTGACAATTCAAGGCACTTAGTCTTCATACTTATCATGAATTGAGCCAATGCCTTGCACATCTCTGGTTTTGAGATTAACAGTTGTTTTAAATCTAAATGTAGCTACCTTTTTTCATTCTCACCACAAATATCAAACCTCCAGTATGAGAAGCCTTTCAAGACTCCCAAGCAAAGCAGTTTGAATCCATGAGCAGACAGAATAAGTAACCTGGTGCCCTAAAATGACACCAGTGACTCATACTACAGCAGTCTGTTCATGTCCAGTGCTGCTGTAAGCATCCCAGGCTCTGGCAAAATCCAGATAAAAAAACACCCCAGGTTACTGTCCAGCAAAGAGCCTGCAATATGCACTGAAACTGATTTAACCTCACCTTGTTCTTTGGGAAGGCTGATTTCTTCCATTACCCTTCATATTTAGAGATTCTCCAAGTGTCCCACTCCCCCAGCCATAACTGGTGGCAACATCTCAAACACAGGTTAGGTAAGCAGTGTGGTGGCCTGAAAGTCACTTAATACTGTGGCCCTAACTCTTTTGGGCAAATAAACACCCCAAAGAAACCTGTGGCTTTCAGGGAACAACTGCAGGAGTTTTAATAGAGGCAGATTAGAAGACGTCAGAAAACTTCTAACAGAAAGCACTTCTTGCTACCACCTTGCATTTCTTTTTTGCTGCTAAACAAGCACTACAATGCCATTTCCAGGGCTACAAATGCAGGTGTTCCATTACACAAGTCATGTTGCACAGGCTAGTGATGGCAACTGAAGCATCAGCATCCTCACTGCACTGTGCTGTGATCTGGGCATATTCTTCTCCTTTACGTCCTCCTTCAGAGCTGTATAGGCAAAGGGATAAATCAGATGGTAGGTAGTGAAACAATCCAAGCAAGGAAGAAAGGTCCTGTTCCTTTGCTCCAAAACAATGGATGCATACTTGAGGAAAATCCTCTTCTAGGCAGGACAGCAGATCAGTACTTAGCAGATCTGAGCAGAACTGAATCCCCAGGGTGTCTGCATGAATGCCTCTGCATGATGTTATTTTATATCTGGACAGTGTTCAGCAACACTTTAAGGCCAGGCAGATGCTAAGCCAATGTAGAAAATCAATAGTACTAAAAACAAATAAACAAACAACAACAAAAACCAAAAAAAAAAAAACTCCACTCTGTATACACATAAAAATATAAGCGAGCTGAAAAGTTCAAAGAGTTTAGCCATAAGTGTGCATTATATAAAACAACTGGAATGTTTTATACACAGCCAGCATTTTCTGCCTGGAGAATATTATGAAGGATTCAAGATGCCTAATTTCACTTCCCAGTGGTATCAGGCACTAGCTAAACTGTACTGCAAGTACCAACGAACTTGCATTTCCTGTTCTTAAATGTTTTGAGGCTCTCTGAGTTTTAACTGCTGAACTTTGAGATAGAGATCATAGTAACAGCAGCAGAACAGAACAAAGGAAAGGAAAGCACAACCTGAAGCAGAAGCTTAAACCAAAGCATTAAATTGCATGTAGCTGGTGTGCTTTTTTTAAGAGGACATGAAAAGGACATTATAAGGGATTCAAGGCATCTGGGGGAGAGGAAGGAGGGGGGAAGAGACAACACTTGAAATAAAGGTTCCACGAAGAGGAAATCTCTGATAATTTATTGACCTTCAGTTTCACATTGTGAAAAAACCGCGAGTTTTACAAAATCTTAAGATGTAGTAGCAAACAAAAAGACACAACATAGACAATTTTACTTCTTCACTTGCACAGTTTTCTTTTAGTACATGAACCACATCTTCAATAGCCAGGAATGGGAACATTATTCTGCTCTAATCACTCTCATTCAGACAGGTGTCAAACATATAGAAAAGGGTCTGCACAAATATACCAGAAGAGGAAGGCTGCCCTTTGTTACATGTTTCTACAGCAACCAGCCTGCAAAATAAGAGGAACCTTCCCGTCTTACGCCAGGGTTTTTGTGTGCACTCCGCTGTGAACTGCATTTGCTTCAAAGTGTGGGGTGTTTTGCAGGACTGGAATGGTCAAGTAGTTAGCCAGGATTCCCACACCCATTCAAAGAGCAAGAGCCCAGTGTATTCCCTGCAGAGCCAGACGCCCACCCTGACTTCAGCTTCCTTCAGCCTACACACAGGAATTAATTGAGGACTTGAAAGTAGACCACAACTTTGGAAACAACTGCAGAAAATTCATCCCACTTTCGGAAGTTGCACGGTGCTACAAGACAGATTCCATAAGCTAAATAGTTAGATGCAGAGCAGCTTTCCCTCTGGACTCTAGTCAGGTTGACAGAGAACACAGGTCTCCAACCTACATGCCCTTGTTCAAACAAGGGGCCCCTGGGGACCTGGTTCTTTACTTCCTTGTGCCTCGTGTAGTCACTAGCGCCTGGGGAGATGACATGCAAAGCACAGGAAGTCTGATTTTATGGTTCCCTTTGCACTCCTGGGAGTGATCCCCAAATGAAAGGCTACAAAAATTCAAGGCTGTTTGCTTCAACATGGCAATCTGTGCAAGTATAGGGATACAGAAAGGAGACCTACCCTATCTAAGATGTTTTCCTATTGCTTAAAAGCCATCTAAGGGGAGGGTGAGGGGTGGAGAGGCTGTGGGTCTAAACACTTTTTTTAATCTACCATTTCAAGGAATCAGTTTAACCAGCAATCCTATAATTTTATCACATCTAGCTGGACCTCACCCTCTTAAAAACTGCTAATGCCTTTGCTAATGAATCAATGTTCTCTCAGTATTCACAGAACTCCAAATACTTTTATTTTTGAAATGTAAGAGTCTACCCCAGACAGCAAATCAAAAGTAAGGCAGCACAGAGAAACTTCCAGTGACCAATGTAAACACTTTCAGATGACTAAACTTTCACAAATACAGCTACATCACTGTCACACAAAGAAAGACAAGCATCACCAATGTGACTATTTTTGTTTGGCATGCACGCATGCAGCTGTTTACTTATACCACAGTACACACCAACCATGTTACTGAATGTGCCAGTCAACTTGGGCTCCAAAAAACATTTAAGAAAAAACACAATACAACACATGCTTCATGACAGGATGTGGCAAAGAAAGCACCTGTGAAACACAAGCTTCTGAAATTCAGAAAAAAAGAGTAGCTTCATCTCTGTCCAAAAACCAGAACTGTAAGAAACAAATTTATTAAAAAAAAAATAAAAAATCAAAGTTAGGTTTCTCAGGATGGTATCTGATGCCTTTGAGCAACCAAATGGTTAAACACACACCTGGATAAGGAAGAAAAGAAAAAGCAGCAGAGCTTGAGGGCTTTTTTTTAAGATTAAGAGGTTTGAAACTCATTTTCTATCCCCATAAGAATTTTTCTAGAGCACTTGGGTCTTTGACATCTGGCCACTCAGATGATCATCTGAAATGCAGATGGATGAGGCAATCCAGTCAGTGCAAAATTGCTGTTCTTTCTTCTTTTTTTTTTTTTTTAAGACTTCATCACTAACCTATCATGAGGTTTTTGTTTTTATTCTTGAATCACCATTCTCCACTCCTTCAGGACAATGTGGCTATATTGTTAAGTAACCCTCCTCCAACCCAGTAAATAAATAAATAAATAAGTTTGGACAATGACTTCATCTGGGCTTGGTATCCAGAAGCTCTTCCACAGTATTTGCATTGCAATCAGTAAGCTGCACAAAGAGAGAGTTGCAAGAGACTTGGGCTATTTCCAGATTAGAAATTGAAAGGCATGACCAATAAATGAAATGTTGCAAGGACACCATCTACAAGACACACCACATGCAACCTGGGGAGCTGGTGGCCTGAGAAAGTGACCTCCATGGCTTCTTCCTTTAGTACGTGTGTAATTTAAGATCATGTCTTGTAATCCTTCCATTTCCGACTGGGAAGCCACCCCACCTCCCACCTCCAACTGTTACCTAATAGTTTTCTTTCTTTGTGCATCAGAGCAAGTCAGCAATCACAATATGTGCAAAACATACAATTCACACAAGCCCTTGCAACATGAAGACAATTGCAGGCATTGTTTCAGCATGCAAGCATTGAACAATAAATAACTATCTACAACAAGTAACATAACTGGAAAGGGACAGTTTGAATTACTTATAAATACAGGGAGGAATGGGAAAAAGGAGCATTTGAGGGATGTCATTTTTGTTCCCCACTGTTGCAAAAACATTTCACCACTTGACTGTTCCTTACAAAGCAGAAGGTCACTTACTGCACACAGGACAATGCAACGCGGGGTCTAAGAGATGCTGTGGGCACTGCCCACAGACAAACACAATCCCTTTAGCCGAGTTCAGCAGCAATACCACTATCTTCACTCACAGTGGCATCTTGCTGTTTCAGACCTGGCCTGCTTCCCCTGCAGCTGGCACTGGCACTTCTACCACCACAAAGAGAGGTGACAACCACTTCAAATTTCAGATAAAAAACAGTGGAATCCATGGAAATTGAGTGTTGCGTGGTGCACAGCTCAGAGAAGTTGTGTCTCTTCTTTTTCATCTTTGACTGATTAATATTGGCATTAATCCACAATTACAAGGATCAGATCATAGGTATGTCCACTCATATTAAAACCACATGTTGAAGTACTGAAGACAGGGGTTTTTTTTTCCTCCCATTCCTTCACGTCTAGGTTGGATAATTTACAAGGTGCAGATGATTTTCTTCAAATGCAAACGATGCTGAACCATTTTTCTTCATTACAACCACTTCTCCAGATCTGAGGTTCCAATTCTCATCTCCAAGTAAAGGAGTAAACTAAAAGAGGTGGAGGGAAAGGAGAGAAATAATTTAAAGGGTTTTGCTGCAACAATGTACTAAGATTTTTGCAAGATGTCAAAGAAAATCTAATAGACAGGCTTAGGATACATACAACCCAGTTGATGAGTTTTTCTGCCCCCTGACTCCCTGAAATCTCAGAGTTCCTGTGCAATAGCCAATTATTGATAAGTAAACCAATCAAGAACGTAAGTATTTAGGGTCACATTCTGACTTTATTATTCTACTAGCCTTACTCTGCAAACCATTCAATTGATCCCAGAAAGACTCTCTGATCTTTTGGGTATAAATTCAGTCATTTGAAGCCTAAATTAAACCAGCCCAATACAGTTCAATGTGATGGGCTCTACATCCTACATATTTCAACATTTCTATGTTTCCCCAAAATCTTAAAGGTCTGTGGATTGGTTTCACGTGAACATAACCTCTCGTAACTCCTCTTCCACAAAAATCCACATGAACACTTAGTGCAAAGAGTTGTTTTAGCCCTGGGCCACAACAAACCTGACAGGAGTAAAGCAGAAGGGAAGGTGAAGGTGTCTCACCCTAACACCTCCACTCATCTCAAAGAATTCTTAATTGAACATACTCACAATAAAGGAACATACAATTCCCTTACTTAAAATGTATTTACTATTCATTTGAGCAGGTCTGCCTCCTTTTTTTTCAGACAGCAATGTACCATACATCAGTAACTCCATCCTAGGGTCCTTTATAAAACCGATTATTCAATGAAAAATTCAGCCTTTGGATGTCAAGGTTGTGCTTTGCTTTTTCCTTGTGAAGCTGTATCTAAATGCCACCTTCTAAACTTTCATCAGTTCATCACAGTAATTTCTGACAGCACTGCTAGGATTTTAGGAGGCAAATCCTACTTCATTATAGTGCAAAGGAGCTCCAGTGCACCCACAGGTCCTTTGAATACACCACATTTCTCTCAGGCTGTGATGTCCAAGAACAACAGAGAATACCCACAGGAAACAACACAGCCTACATAACAGCCCAGAGCATCAAGCCTTTTGGCAACTATGGGCTAATTTTTATGTCTAAAAAGGGTCTCCATGTTTAGTGCTGATTGAACTTTTCTAGACATTCTTCAGCACAGCATGCCATTCTTCCCACTGAAACAGACTATCAACACTGAAGTCAAGACAGTGCTCCTTGTCATGGGCTGAACTTTAAAAAAAATTCTAAGTAATTCCAAAATAAAGGGGAAAAAAACCTAACCTACTCATACCCCACAAGTTTGAGCAACAAGACAAACCAGACTGCAGTCTTCCTAAAAGCTGTCAGACTGGGGCCACACAGCACCATGAAAACAGAGAGTAATCAGAAGTAATTTCCTTTTTGTCCCTCCCACCCACTGACAAAGCAGCAGGAGTTAGTAAGAAAAAATCCAACCTACTTGCTGGATGAGCACACAGCATGGGAGAGATTTCAGTCTATGGCTACAATAAGAGAGTTATCTCGTGTGCTAGTTAAGCCAGTTGTCTTGTGTGTTAGTGAAGCCAAAATAATGGCTTTTAACAAGATACTGCAGAATAAAGGAAAGCTTTTTGTACCGTTATATTGAGGAGTCTTTTTCAAAATAAAGCACTCCCTCTCATGTACAGTAAACTTCAGAACAATTAAGTCAGTCTCAGAAGAGCAAGTCAATATTTTTCTTGGCAGAGACCTGAGTTCAGGCATTCAATACTACTGCTCTGATAAGACTGAGAACTGCATAAAGTCAGTAATAATAAAAGTTAACTGAAGACATGGAGATATTGTTCCCAGCTAAGCAGGAAGCTGCCACACAGAAATCAGGGCTTCCATTTGCTGGCTGTTGTGGGGCAATTAACACCAGCACCCAGGACCAGTCTCAAGGTTTTGCCCTGGGAAAAGCAGGGAGACAGGGAGAGAAGGGAGAGAGGGGACAGGGTAGTGCCTTGAAGACAAACAATGACCTGAGATAAGAGCAGCTGATGGCACAACACAGCCCAATTTTCACCCTAGATTTCCATGCTGAGCTGCTGCTTTGCATGGGCCCAACCTTGTGTTCTTTACTCAATCAAAGTCAGTCACCTGAAAGACAAACTGCAAGATGAATCCCTGGCGTACCACAGAGAAAGCAATTTCATGACAAACTGATATTTCTTGCTATATACTTCTATCTACACTGTTTCAAAGACCCTTGAGTTTATGTCTTTACTGCAAGAGTTATGCAAATATCTACTGCTGCGAAAAACACCAGAAAATAAAATCCCAATGATCTGTCCCAAACAGAACCTAGAGAAGTCTCTATATACAAGATGTTCATTCAATTTTCTGGAGAACCTCTGTCATTCTGGACTTTTAGGTAACCCAGAGGCACATGCATATCTTGTTTAATTACTGCAACTGTATTTATTTACCTTTTCTTTCTAACTTCCCTGCCTTCATGCTTACAATATACACTGTTCAAATCCCAAAAGAAATTACCATTCACAGGACATTGATTAGTTAGGATCAAGTATGTTTGGCTAGTGGTAACTGGTTTTGTACTAAAGCCCCAATGGGGGAGTGGGGATTTGTTGCAAAACACATAGATTAATAGTGCAAATTTTCTCCCTTCCTCCTAAAAATAAGAAATGCACATCAACCAAGCAAGCAAGACCAAATTCAGGCTTGCTTGTGAGAAGATACAGTGCTGAAGTTGCATCTGGTAAGAGCTTGGCCCATTATGTATAATTAAATTGTTTTGGAACAGTGTGTGCTATAGACTGGTAATTATTTCAGCCAGCAATATTAATTATATGTCTTCCTGACACTATATCTAGTTCAACGTACATGACCATAAGTATCTTGAAAAATCTGTATTTTAAAGTGTAACAATGGAGCAGATACAACCTTAGTCCATGCAGATGCTGTCTATGTGAGATTGAAAACCAGTCCTGAACTGCTGTAAAACACCTCTCATAAGACAGCAAGTTTCTCCAAAGGCCTGGAAATTTATGTGAATTCACTATCAGGCTTCAGATTAGAATTTATGGTATCATTTTTGGGTACTGTTACTGCATAAAGAGTGACCCAGGAAAACAGCACTGAACCCTCATTTAGCACCTATTTAGTACTAAAACCCAGAGTAGGGTTCAATTTCCAAAAGATTATTTGCATTTCCCCAAAAGCTGAAACCATTTTTGCTCAGTCCTTTACATCTAAATTATGGAGGAAAACGCCTTGTAAAAAGAAGTGGGTGCAAGATAAGCAGCAAACTACTTCTAGCCTCTGGTTCTGTTCCAGACATGGTTCCTGGCTTACAACAGTCCATGAAAGTACATCTCAGTTGCTCCAGCTGTAAAATTGGATTGGACATACCCCTGCTCAGAGCTGCTGCAGAAAAGCTTTGTGAGAAGCATTATTACACTGGAATTCAAAGGTGCTATTTCTTACCTGATAACTTCTAATTGCAACATACACATAATTAGGAGGGGAGGTGCTTCCATGTGCTGACAAATGCTGTGGGAATTAATGAATAGGGCACAGTTGTTATGCTGTTCCATACGTCCAACGTGGGATCGTAGCAGTCCAATGTTTTGCACCTCTGAATACCGAAGTAACCTCCAACCACATACAATTTGTTTCCAGATGCCACCGCATGGCAGCTCATCCGCTTAGCTGTCACATCTCCCACCTTAGTCCACTGGTATGCCTCACTGTTGAATTTGTAAGCAGAGCATGCAGAGAATTCAGTGTCTCCACCCATAATAAAAATCTGGTTACCCAGAACAGCTGCAGCTGTGTAGCGCCAGGGCTGGGGGCAGGTGGCTGGTACTGTCCATCTGTTTTCACACTGATCATAGCACTGAACTTTGGGCAGCTTGTCATGGCTAACACTGGTACCTCCAAAAGCAAACAGCTTCAGCTTTGCACTGACTACAGCTGCATTGCTTACTCCCTCTCGCAGCGGGGCAACCATGGTCCATTTGTTGGTCACAGGGTCATACTGTTCTACTTGCTTTAAGGATACTGAAGGGGAAGCTGGAAGGCAACCAGTTGCTGCAGTGTGTCCTCCTACTACATACAAACAGTGCTTAAGTTCAGCAGAGCCATGCCCAAACCTAGCTACCAGCATGGGAGCAGCCTTCGACCACTCCTCATGAAGGGTGTCATACACCCACACATCTTTGGAGACTCCGTTTTCTGATCCTCGTCCCCCAGTGATATACACTTTGCAGCCTATGGCACAAGCACTGAACTCTTTCCGTGGACTTGGTATGTCAGCCTTTGGAATGATCTCCTTTGCCTTTTGATCCACTAGGTACAGCTTGTCACACATAAAGGTTTGGCCGCCCAAAAGAAAAAGTGAATGGCCAGTTTTACGGGGTCTGGCACACAAGCTAGTCACGACTCCATCATTCTGTAAGATCTTTAACTTGCATCTTATTGATTCTTCTACAATCTCCTTGCTTTTCCTTTGCTTGGTGATAAGTTCTTCCATGGCCACATTCTCCATAAGGTATATGGCTGGTAAGAGGGCCAGTCTCACTGTCTGTAATAGCTCTGGCAGGTAACAGTGACGCTTACTCAGGTCATAGCTGACCCAGTTGATAGCTGATTCATACACCAGCCTTTCGTCTTCAGTTTCTAATTCTTCACTGGAAAGGAGCTGCACTACCATGTCTTTTGGCAGCTGGAGGAAGTCTTCACTTTTACTGATACTCTGGAAGTTGCTAAGGCACATCCTCCAAGAGAGTTCATACAGCTTGGTGCACTGGTGAGCATCCGACAGCAGCAGCATGCCAAGACAGTTGGTGGGATGAAGGTTTTTCTCCAGAAATTCTGCACAAGCATCCCGAATGTCCTGGAACTCCAGCATGTCACCAGCCTCCAGCAGTGATTCTGCGTTTTCCTCATTGATGATGACCCTGGAGGAATATGCATAGTCCAGAAGAAGCTCCAAGACCTCTGGGTGAATTGAATTATGAAAGTTGACTTCACTGTCCTGGCTCTCTTTCAGTCCTCCACTGAACATTGCTTCAAAATAGCGGCTACAAGCAGCTAGAACTGCTCTGTGGCAGGGGAATGACCTGTTCCCAGCATGGAGAAGTACATCTGTGAAGAGACGCTGCTGACGCAGAAGGTTCAAGTGAGTGAGGACACTATCAGCATAGGATGACTTGTGGAACAAGTAAATGTTTATGGAGCCAGTACTGGCCCTAGACTTGCGATTTTCATGCATGCTGACTGACATTTTCTTTCACACCTAGAAACAGAGAAAAATGAATAAAATAAATGAGAGTTAAATTCATTATTGTTTCTGCATATCAAAAAGTGTATCTATTATTCACTATAAGATGGGGAGAAAGCCTTAATTTATAGCTGAGTGGAGAGAGAATTACATTTACCTTTGGCATGTGTTTATTTTTTTGCAAGATGAGATTCATAAATGACATCGTCTAAATTTCTTGCCCAAGAGCAGGTTTATCTTGGGAAACCTGATCTCCAACTTTCATAGCAATACAGTAAGCCAGAGACAGAAAGGGAACGAGGACTGATTTTCTCACCCTTCCCCAGCCTAGACCAGCTGATTCACTACATACATACACATGCACGTGCTTGAAACATTCTCCTGTACTGAATCATAGCAGGAAGAGCTACCAGACAAATACCTAAGGAATGTCAAAAGTTGCACAGGGAACAAAAACCTACTAATCCCATTAGGAAGCTTCCCTTTGGTATAATGATTCCATATGCAACAGCACAGAATGGGGGGAAAAAACCCCTACCACAAACTTTAAAACAAAAACCTAGTAATAATCAGAAACTTAGACTCAGGTAACTGTAAAAAAAAAAACACATGACAATCAGTTTTACATATTCCACCTTGAACTCTGCCAGCAGCTGCCTGCTATAGTGACAGAGCATATACATAGGCAGAGTCAGCAGAAAAATGTATTTTGACTATCAGTTGAAGTCTCCAGACACTGCCTCTGAGGCTACCTGGAGAGCTGGGTACTTGGAGCACAAGCCATTGGTTCATTATGAGGTTTGAAGGAGGCATAAAACAGAAGACATACCCTACCCTGCCCTATTCCTAACAGACACAATGCTGTTCAGTTCCTGTTTGGAGGTGATGTTACTGCTACCTGCCATGATATGGAGGTCTATGTGTGACTACAGCAGCAAATTGATTTATAATTACACTTCAACAGGCTACTTGCCCAGATTTAACTAAGCCAAATAGTATGAAGTCAAGCCAAAATAGTATGAAGCACAGGGAAAGGGAGGAATACTGGTAGCCATAAAAAACTAATGGCCAAAGAGCCACAGTGCAAATAATAGGAGATGAAGCATATAAAGCACAGTGCAAGCTGTGTCTCTGACCACTACGGTAATAATTTCAATTCTCTCTTCAAACTGCAGAGAAAGCTCAAAGACAAGAACCAACCCTGCCTAATTACTATGATATTTGCATGCCCAGAGTCTCTTTTACTGTACCTTCAAATAAAGAAAAGCAGAAGTCTATCTGGAAAGCATGCAATGCCCAAAGTCAGAGCATGACCTGGGGCCACTTCTGAAGGTTTTTAATGTGGATATACTTCCCTCTCTCACAGACATTTTCATATTCCTGAGCACCTTCTACAGTACAGAACTGTAGAATTCCATTCCCACATGTCATGCTTCATGATGACAAAAGAGCTTTACAAGCTTCAAAAAAAAGCATTTTAAAATAAATAAATGTATTTTTCTAGATTCATGTGACCACAAACTTCAACAAAATCAAAACCATATGTGATTACTCTGGGCAGGAGACTCTATTTCAGAACAAGCAATCTGTGTATTTAGAACATGCAACACCTGCAGATTAACTGCAGCATAGCCCATACCATCCTCCTTGCTCTCTGTGCTAATGTATGGAATAATTGACACATCAAATTGAAGAGCAAGTTTGTGATCCACCTTTCCCTTCAGTTACAGAAAAAAAAAAAAGCCCCTAAACCCAAGATAAGTTAAGGAACAAAGAGACACCTTAGTGTTAAACTACCATAGCCTGTTTCCTTTAATCTGAAACACAACTTGCCTGATGAAAATTAACCAGGATTTAAAAGAGTGAGTAACAGCTCAATATATAGTGCTCAATCCAAAATCCTCCAAACCAGTGAGGAATCCCACCCATCAGAGCCACAAGGCAGAGTATCTGTCCCACTCTACCACACAAAAGTTTAGAAAGGTATTTTAACAATGCTCCCTAGACCAACTTATTAAATGCACTTAGCACAGAACAACTTAAAGCAGCTGGTATGTCTTCACAACACAAACCCTTTTACAAGGAAAATTAAATTACCTTTAATACAATTGTGTTGTCTGGCAAAAAGACTCAGATGGCACTCAAGGACCCTGAGCACTAATCTCACACTAAAATTACCCACTTAATCTATAGACAAAAACATGATACTGGCCATATACAGGTTGAAATCTGATGGAACTGAAGGATTACAGAAAGGGTCATGGCCTGAAACAGTAGTATGCAAAGAGTTTGAAGACACAGATAGAAAGGTGAACCTTTTACTGTCCATTTTTTCAGACCTTTTCAGGCACTTTACTATTGTAAATGCTATCATGATAGAGTGCAAAGCATTCACTGGATCTCTAGAGGTGGGGTTTCCTCACACTGAGGACCTAGTCCTGCAAGATTTCCTCACTAAGGAGCAGGATGGGAGCTAAACACTCCACTGATCAGAGACAACAGAGTAACCAGGATCTGAAGATGCTCATTGCTCCCCACCCTCTTTCCAATTAAGTGAAGGTGTAGACACCACAGTCTAGGCATGACATGATCCCTGTGAAAACACAGGTCTTCTTCTTTCCCCACATACATCAGGGGAATTCAGACTTTACTGAAAACTTTCTTTCATCATGCACACAGGGTTCAGAACAGGAAGGTAAAGTTCACTTCAGAGGCTGCAAATGCAGGCATTCAGATCCTTCACCAGGCTGTGTACTCCTGTGAGCACCACTTGTTCAGCATCATTCAGAATGAGCCCACAACCACAACAAAACAGCAGCAAACACACAAAAAAACACTCTGCAGTTATGCATATGTTGGATGCTAGTGAACTACAGACCATATGTAAAGGGAAGGAACAGATCATTGCATGCTACCCAAGGCCACCCACAGCCATAGTAATAAATACTGCTGTAAAAAAAATCATATAAAATATACATAAAGAACCACTCTCACACAGCTACTGAATAAGGCACTCAGCACTTCACCCCACTAAAACAGCAGATTTGGTCTCTCTGTGACATGCACTTCCAGACTTCACATATGCTGGCCTTTAACTGCTCCTGTAGACTGCCTTTATCATCACAATGTCATCTGTTGAGAGGAATTCAAAGTATGCCAATTCACATTTAAGATAAGCTAACATATTTCCCCAAACAGAACAAAGATACATATCTTTTTCCTCCACTGTGGTGCTGAGATGAGTTCACACATGGACTAGTGGAGCAAGCACCCTTACCAGCAATTATCATCATTCACTAATAGGCAGTGTTTCTGTAAATACGTCCTTTTGCAGTTTCTGGCAATTAGCTCAGTCCAGAATCTCACAAGAATATTAAGATGCACAAATGACACCTCTGATTTCTCTGTCTGGTGCTGGAAATTATGCAAGCCTCAAATACTTCAGTAGAGGTAATTTACAGTCAGTGAGCAAATGTTCATCTTGAATAATATGAGCCAATTCCCTTCGGGCATTTTTTCCTTAGAAATAGTAATATTCGTATATAAAAGACAAGAAGTGGTCAGTAAATTACAGATACGGATTTTATCTAGGAATAGAGGTTGAACCAAGACTTTGATTTATAATTGCACTTCAACAGGCTACTTGTCACAGCAGCCCAGTAGTAAACACTACTTTAAGACTAAACAACAGGCTCCTTATCCTACTTAACAGCTCTGCAGCATGCAGGTCTCAGCCTAAATCAAATGAAAAATTAAGTATTTTCAAACTACTGACAGATCCCTGATGTAGGCTCATTTTAATACGCCTCTGTAATTACATGGTGGTGGTTGCATTTTTCTTCAGAATCAGTATAACAGCTGAAAGGAAATCAGCTAAACACCCCATCAATGTAACTAACACCGCTTTCAATTGCTAAGTATGCACCGATACTATCAGTTTTGCAGAGCCAAACCGTGACCGTGCTTAAAGTCTTCAGACTCGGTGGCTTCCTAGGACCTGCAGCGAGACAGAAAGCAGAACACGCTGCTCCTGTTAGGAAGGCACTACAGCTCACCACATGCAGACAAAGAAACCCAACTCCTAAATTCCCCTCAGTTCGCTCCATTATAACGGCAAAATCACTCCGTCTCTGAAAATAAACTTGCTGGGTTTCTTCCCAAGCATCTTACAGAGAAAAAAAAAAAAAAAAACAGTGCGCGGAGTTAAAACGCATTTGGATTCCTTTATAGAGCAACAACCACGTGCAAAAGTTTCTCTACCGGCGCAGGGAGAGCAGCGAGGAGTTCGCCCTGCCTCCCGCCCGCCGAGGGATGCTCCAGACCTCCCG